AAGCGAATCGAGAAGCCATTCTTACTTCGCTGTCCGTGAACTTGACATTGCTCCACCGGAAATCATGCATTGTGCGCTCAACCTACAGATTATTCACTAATCTGTAGGTATAGATCAGGGAATAATCTGTAGGTTGCGCTGTTTCCCAGAATTAACTGTAGGCGTTTAGCCAATGAGAAGACAGATGGTGCCTACAATGTATAATAATTGGTTTTATCAACTAAGTTGACAATGTGAATTGGTCACGGCATATTGAGTTTCTTAAGCTGACGTTGCGAGCGTAAACCTTTCGTCAGATCGAGAGGTGGTAAGGAGGGACTGACAACCGATTATTAATAAAGTAAATAAGAAAAATTTTGATACAAACACGCCTTTTTCCTGAGGATGGTGTAATTTTTGGGACACAATTTTAAGCAAACGTATCGAAAGATACGTAAATCAGGAGTAAAAAAAAAGATATTGGAGAACAGGTGTTACTGTTGACTCAGCTTCGTTTGATGAAGTGATCATAACATCTCCTACGTTCATAACTTTTACATCAATTTTTTTATACCTGCATCCACTCGCCCGCTTGAATCACTTTTCGAGGTAGCTGGGTTAACTTCTGAATTCTGTAGTAAAGGCGATGAACAGGAACACGTAATAGACCAATAACATTTTACTTTATTTTATGAGGATAGATTTAAGGTCATTTTAGTAAGAATAAGTTTACTCAAAAATGCTTAGGGTTCTAGCCTCTACAGAGCGCATTTAACTGTCTGCGCTAGCTGATGTTTGGCTGTGTAGCCGCGTGATGCGGTTCCAGTCAATACCCACTAATTGACCCTTGCTCACCATAGGGTCTCTTGTAGTTCAGTGGTTAGAGCATTCGACTAGATCACGCAGGGTCGTGGGTTCTAATCCCATCTGGAAACTCGATTTTTCTCTTAAACTGTCTGTATCCAAATAATGGCACCAAAGGTGTCTCCTTCGCTGCATTCAAGAGCTCGAACGGGCGCTTTTCAATCGTGTAATCCAAAAAACTTTGAATACTATGACGCTGATAGAATGAACTAAAAAAATGTCGCCTCACGTAAATGGACCTTTTTTTACCATTAGAAATCAATTAAAACAAATCAAACCAAAGAAATTCTGTGGTAATTTTGACGATCGAAAACTGCTCGTTTTCAGTCTACTGATCTCACCTCGCGAGCAGGCGCCTTAGTATAGGGTCGGCGTTCCTGTCTTGTCGTAACCAGGCCTGCTGGCTGTAACGAGGTCTGTGGCGAGGACTTTTTTCTTTCAAGAAATCCATGTACCATAAGAGTTTCTTTATGTTGGTCTTTGCAAACGCTGCTCGACTCATTTTACCTTAATTGATTGTGAAAAGAAAACAACAAACTTTAAGCGTCGATTTGTAAAGGTAATTGTAACAGTTGTCGTAAACACAGCGGTCAAACGTCTGTGCATGTGCGGACGTGGCGATGACAAGATGGCGTGCTTTTAGGCTGTCTTTTAACTCCTTAACAGATTTCTATGAACGTTTCAATTTTCAGCGGTAGTTTCTTTATGTTTTCGTTTGAAATTTTGTGCGGAAAATTTGTGCGCGGCTGGCCAGAATTGATCCTGTCGCGCATGCCCAACATTTGACCGCTGGTTTATGGTGTTGTGCAGTTATTCTGTAGAGCCAGAATGCTTGGCACGTACCACCCCAGCTGCATCTAATCTTAGTCGCCAGGCCCCATACTTACGACTGTAACAACAATACATGCTACTTCGTCATGAAAAAGTGGGTACGGGGGCATTAAACATTAGAACTCTATCAACCCTCGATGTAGAAGTCGTGGATGCCAACAAGTCGCTATTATTTCTCAACTCTGAAATGCACTCTCGATCCTCAAATTTGTCGTAAAAAAATTTTCCTTCCTTTTACAAGCTATTTCGTACACCAAAATCATTAAAACGCAATTAATCATTTCAGCAGCAATCCAGAGAATGGATATTTCTTACCATTTGTTAAACTTTCCGACAATCCAATGCGTTTAAACCTAAAACAGATCATTGAATAATTAACAAATTATTCCACGAGCGCGCGTTGGATATGAGATGATTATAGCCAACTCGGCGCTACGCGCCTCGTTGGCTATCTATCATCTCATATCCAACGCGCGCTCGTGGAATAATTGTTAAATAGTAATTATGGATATAGAAGATTAAATTAGGACCGAGATAAAGAAAGATCATCTTTGAACGTTTAAAAAGACGGAATTAACAATTTTTATTGACTGTCGTCTGAGGTATAGGGTGGTAACTCAGATTTTTATGATCAGTGGACTGAGTTTTATGATAATTAACTTAAGGCCCACATTAGGAAGAAAGTAAAATGGTAAATTAAGCTTTAGCAATCTAAAGTAATTATCAATTTATTTCATAGTATGCATGTTGCGTGCCAAAAAAAATTTTCCCTTGTCCTCTCGCTGCCATTCGGGCTACATTTGTATGGAAAAGGGCCCGAAAACGAGTCAGAGGAATTCTCGAGAGCAGGGTACTCACATTGTCGGAACTTCATCCTCTCTCATGAATAGAAGTTTACGTTTTTGGGCGAAATGCCGCACCTGTTGCGTGAAAGTACAGCCAAGCATTAAAGATTAACAACAACAACAACAACAACATCGAAAAGAGAGCTGGACTTTAACACAAAGACCTCGGTTATGAGTCGAAACATTTATGGTATCGCTATGTCGCAGTGGATGATGTGTTCCGTTCCTTTTTTTCATTTTACAATTACACGATATTATTATGCTCTTTATTAACCTGTCGATGTGTTGTTACGATACGTTTAGGTCTGTGATACTACTTTATGTGTTTCACTTCAATTTTCATTCGCACAAACCTCGTTTGCATCGATGAATCCATCATTATCGGCATCCCATACATTAAATGCTTTGGCAAATCGTTCGTTGTGATCAAGTGTCCAGTTTCCATCTGTTGATAAGTTTACAAGAATAATTCATTTCCTTAAACTTCATTAAAATATGAACTGATTAAATTCTAGTCTTGTCTAAAACCACATCAATGTGTTTCTCTCTGACGAAGGGCTAACGCTCTGGCCAATATACATTGTCAAATCAGTTGCTAAAACCAAATTATCACATCAGTGCAACCCTTACTATCTAGCAAGCTTGCAAGTCCAAACTTTCATAATCCCGCAAGCTTATGGGTTACGCCGAGTCGAACTCACAAGTCCCTCACGAGCGGGCTTGCTGAGGTCAAACCGACAGATTTGTGCATGTAGTTTATAGTTTATCCGTATCACCTATTCTTTCCAGTTTAATGCTTCAGTTTTCGCAGTTAGACTTTATTCGGCATCAGTTTAATTTGTTTTGTCTTCTCAACTATTCACTTCTATCATCTGCTTACGAGAAACTTATTTATCAGCTAAGAAACTAGTTTTACCGGCTTCTCTCATATCTTCGTCCAAGTCTCCCTCGTAAGCGGCAACATCAAAGCCAGCTATACTCATGACAAGACCGCTTTCCTTTGCCAGTGAAATGATATGCTCACATTCTTCATCCGACAGGAAACGAGGAATCTCTGTTAAATAATTAAAATCATAGCATAATTATTTTTTAGTTTTTTTTTTTGTGGTTATGGTGAAAAATGACCCTAAGAACGAGCTTTTGATGGGAGCAACTTGAAGCAGGACTCACCAAAAAGCAAAGGCTTCATGGCTCTAGTGATCATTTTGTATTTGATCCCTTCCTCCAATTCCACCCATCTCTCATGACCTGTCTGAAGAAACAAAAAACTGAGCTTTAATTTGCAAGGTACAATGGGCAGGGTTTTCAATAATTTTTGCCATAAGGGGCATGGGGAGCCCTCTCACAGTCGGTGTGAGGTCTTGCATGCGTCGGTAACCGGCTTTAATTGAAACCGCTGACAATGGGACTACAAAATTAAATTCGGCTGGCATAAATTACAAGTGCAGGAAATGGAAGGAAGAATGGAAAGTGTCAGGTTAAGATAGGATTAATGAAAGGCTGACCGGTACCTGAGTCTCACAACAAGAGTTCAGGTGAAATAAATTACCATAAAACATACAAATTGCGAAACAGTGAAACCCAAAAATCATGTGAAGCAGTTTTCTGTGTTTCTATGAAAAAAAAAATGTCTCTGTAATTGAAGAAAAGATCCGCACACTGATATGATTTTGACTTTGAATAGTTTCCCTAGCACTGGACGTTGCGTCCAAATATAATAATCTTGAAGTACAATGAGTTTGGGCCTCTACTGTAAACCCAATGAAAACGACACCTTAATGACTCGATGGAGGCTTCGAGCGTTTCAACAGACGGTTTGTGTCGCATCAGCGGTTGTACAGGGAAATATTTGGATACGGACTCCTAGTAAAGAACCTCTTAACAAACAATTTTTTCTCCTTAGCGATTTAGGTTATTTTTCACTATTTGACCCACAGCCTTTTATTGTAGCTCAGTCGTTATTCTGGTCACTGGAAGGAACAGATTTTGACGACCCATCAAAGATACAAATTATCACAGAATAATCAGCAATACTTACTTATGTGTAGCAAGGTGTGTAAATGTTTCTGGTACACATTGAGACATGCAAGCTTATATTTCACATATTTTCAGCGATTGTTTACAAATCTAGTGATAAACATAGGTCCCACTAGGGGAATTTGCTATGTTAGCGATTATTAGTTGAATTCAGCAACGCCGTTCATCCTTTGAATGAGCTATGGAAATTTCGCAACGTAAACATTCAAAACTTCAAGACAAAACATTTTGTACGTGTAAAATTCAGTACCTTCACTCCGTCCAAACGCAGCAATTTGATTTCATCCGCACGTTCCTCGTGACAAGATTCTGTGGGATCCGTACACAAGTGAAGAAATTGTTCCTCAGCAAAACATGGCTCAGTGAACTTGATCGCTCTCGGTTTGGAATCTTTTGCCCAATTTCCACAAAAGAAGAAACAAGGTATAACGAAAATGAGACCTCGAACCTTCATAGCTACCATCCAAAGGGTTCATTTGCTATAAGTGTTTTTTATTCAATTTTCCTACATGGCTTAGGATAAAGAGATAAATTATTAATTTTCTCGATGTGAGACAAGCCGAAACGTTTCGTCTACAATGAAACTTGTGGTTGTATTGTTGGCGAGAACCGCAGGTCAATGGATCACTTGCTTAAGTTGCCTTAACATCAAAATTATGCGCCAATCTATTCGAAGCTTTAACATTTCCCACCTCCCGGCCCGGGCAACCCACCGACCGTCGTCCGCGCCCAGGGGGTGGAGAATTAGAGCCTTTCCTAGCTGGGGTGGGGATTTTGAAATTGCTAAGCACCGTGCAATATACTGCCGTTAACTATATAAACGTTACCCGTGGTACAACCAACACGACCTGAAACAATTCTTTTTTAACAAAATTAGAAGAATTCTTTGCTTAACCTTTGATATCATTAGTACTTGCTAAAATACACTCAAACCTATCAGGAAATAGGGAGATATTACGTAGTTTTAGCATCATTTTGGTCGATTTTTATGTGCCAATACTTTAGAAAGAGGCTTCCTTTTCAGGTCTTTAACTACAGTATGCTCATAGTTGACTTTAACAATACTAATGAAAGTCATATTTCCCACGTGGTCTAGTGGTTAGGATTCGGCGCTCTCACCGCCGTGGCCCGGGTTCGATTCCCGGCGTGGGAATGATAACGCAATATGATCTTTCCATCCCTTTTGAATAACTGCCAAGAAAAATCACGCCATTTTCTCTTACCCTTCTTTTTCGATTTTTAATAACCTTGCCTCCATGACAGGGTTGGACAGAAAATCAATAAGTGCACGAACTTAACTGAAGCGTTTGCATTTGTCATTAAAATGGTCATGCAACGCTGACACAAACAAACCTATAAAGGTTAACCAGTGAAATCTGGGTGATGAAATTAAATTTGCAAAATTTTAAGGATATACTTTGTATATCAATAGCATTTGCTGCGATACACAACCTTCGGAGACTCTTAGGAGATCGCAAGATTATATTTTTTCATCGATAGCCATTATTATTATTATTATTATTATTATTATTATT